GCCTAAAATTCAAAATGAGCTGGTGTGAATCTATTTTAGCACGCAACAAGCCAACTCAAAACTAATCTAGAAATAAATTGCAAAAAAAACGCAAAAATCCTAACACTTATGCATTCTAAAAACTTATTTAATATTCTATATTAAAAAAATATTTATACATAAAAATATTTTTTATAAAGAAAAATATTTTAGTCAATCTTGAGCCGGTCCAAACTGTGATCCGTGTAAGACTCGAATTCAATTCGAAAAGTATTTGAGTCAAGCTTTCAGCTCATAGCTCGACTTACTTGCTCTAACTCGAGCCAAAATTCAACTTGATTTTCGAGTAACCAATAATCTTTAAGATTGATCTTCAACAAAAATTCTCAATCAAAACTATTTAATGCAATCGAAGGTAACTGATTTTGAAGTGTTGAAGGATTTGTATGCCACTAATGAGAACTTAGTTGAGAATTTAATATGTTGTCGAGAGAGACCCTAGTATCACATATGTCATATCTAATTATTATATGTTCATATAAAACAAATTGTGCATTACTAAAGTTCATTCAGAGTGGCTATTTTATAGTACTATAATGGAAAAGCAGTGGGCGTTAAGATGCTTTGGTAAGGTTAAGACTCTTTTCTTAATGTAAAAAATTTTCTTTTGGCCTAGATTGATACAATACGTTAGCACGTCAAACAATAAATTCCTACAAGGTTTATCATCAAACTAAAAGCCCCGAGGACTAAATTCAATCTTCTTTCGGCCAACATTGATATGGGATATGGAGAGGCATGTTAAACAGCACAAAATGTGTCACCTAGCTAAGACCCGAAGGCAAAACACAGGTCTCTATACTTCATTTCCTCTCCAAATCTACCTTAGGTGCATGTGAGCATGGACTTCGCGGTGGGTCTGCACTGAACACAATGAAGCAAAAAAATTATTATGATGGCGGCAAACTACTTCTCCAGAATAGCGCATTTTGTACTTTGTCATTCAGTGATGGATGCTCACATATCATTGATCTTTATTTATGGGTAGATAGTTTATCTTCATGGTTCGGGCAGAATGAGCGTTCAAGCCCAACACTTGAATTTTTTTACTTTGTATCCAACAAATATGTTGCACATTTGAACTCCCAATGACCACAACTTCAGATATAAATGTGAAGTTCTTGAATTATTTCTAGATGACCTTAGGAGATAAAATGGGCATGAAACTCCAATCAGTTCAACAGTCCACCCTCGATAAATAAGTAGATGGAGATGATTAATTGTAGCATAGAAAACAGCTTTAGGTGCTTTCCATTCAAGAAAATCATACCGTAAGCTTGATTCTTCCTCATGATAAGTTTGGTTGCAATATGTTCACTGGTTAGTCTATAGGTCATATTTCCTTTAAGGTTATCTAAAGGTAGAACTCTCACACCTTTAGCGTTGGTGTCTATTCCTACAGCTACTAAGCTTAAAACGGATACATAGATCATCATCAGAGAGATTCATATCTTCCTTATATAAGTAGATGAAAAAGAAAATAACCAAGAAGAATGTCAACTTCCAAAAGCAAACTAGCAACTCCAAAAAGGGTATGATCTTCAAGGAAGATAACTTGATGTTAATTATAATAAAAATTTGAAAGATATTTTTGCATGGTAATTTCGAAACCTAAGATCAATGGTTGATAGTTCATTAATGGTTGTCAAGAGAATCAATGACAATTCGTACAAGACTGGCCTATAAGTGACTACAATGCTTATGCTACATTCAATTTTATTGACTTGTTGTCATAGTACAGGAATCCAAATGCTTTCGATGATGAAAGTAAAGCCCCTCATATTCAAAGAGAAAGATGTAAACGTACACTTGGGACAAGAACATTGCAACAAAATCAACCACCCCCCCCCCCCCCCCCCCCCTCTCGCACGGCTTCCTCAGAGTTTATTTACCATATTGTGAGGTAAATTTGGGTTATTTTGCTTCTTTATACTATATATGTTGTTCTAAAACCTATTAGACGCATTTGGTTCAATTTTTATCTTCTTAGAGATTGCTTCTTTTGGTTCTCTCTTTGGAGTATTGTATTTTATTCTCCCTAAAATGGTGTAATTATAGCTTAATTAAGAATAGGTCGTGATTCATCCTCAAAACTCGTAAATCCCCCCTCTAGTCAGTAGATCTTTTTTCCTCACCATTTTGTCCCCAAAATCATAGTTGCCCTCATTTTTGTGTCCCCACATAATTTTTTTCATTGGTTTCACCTTTTTTTCTCAAATCTTATAAAATTCCCGATCATTAATCGATCATAAACCATCTAGAAACCCAAGATGAATGGCATACCCTCCATCTCCATCAAGCTTCCCTCTCATCTTGCTATCAATGCCTTCAAACTCTTGTAATGACTTTTCAGGTCAATGCCCTCTCATATTGTGACTTTCTCGCTTCTTTGTTTCAAGAGTTTCGAGAATTCATGGACAAAACTCAAACTCATGAGTCAAGTGGAGCCTTTCATTGATGCAATCAGCCAAGCTTAATTTCATTATATGAGCTTGACTCCAACTCAAGCTCGAGTTAGAGTATACCATAAGATAGACGAGCAGAGCTCAAGTTAGCTAGGAATCAAGTTCAACTTGACTTATTTACACCCGTACTCTCAACTAATAGATGAATAAATAAAGATTGTTACAAACAAATTTATGGTGTCATAATTAATGGTTGAATAGGATGATGAGTTGTGCAATTTTTATGATTCTTGATAAAGCGCTGCATGCATAAAGATCATAGGAAGGTGCTAAATAGTGATGAAATAACCATTAAAAGTGGCTAAAAGGTTTCAAGAAAAAGGTAATTGCTACAATTCTTAAATTATAATGATAATGGTTTCACGGAACACAGTACTCAACATAGTAAAAGGGCATTTACAGTATATTTGTAAATATCAAAAATGCAAACAGGCAAGGCAGAAAGTTCATTCCAATTCCCTTTTCTTATGCAGAAACATGGTTTCAATAAGCGGTTTACTTAATATTTAAGAAACAAAACTGAATTTAGTCCAATAGGTGCTGACTTGAAATGAATTGGGAAAATTTTGATGAATTGAACTTCAATGTTTTAACAGCTTTAAAACAGTCTTATTAGGAAACAACCATTATTCTAAAGTATTCCATTTTATTTCCAATGAAAATGTTCTTTATGATTCATGGAAGTATATAAAAACTTGAGAAAATTTTTCTCTTACTCTCAAGGTACAAAGCAAACAAATATAACCCAACTCCATGAATGCTCCAAAACCAAACAAAATTCAATAAATCTTATTCCATCAAAATTAGCACCATTAAACCAAATTCTGTAAATTCATTTTGATATGATGCCCAGTAACCATTAAGGAAAAAATACAGATCAAGGCTTAACTTGAATTGTCTCCATAAGTCATAAAAACTATATATTTTAGACTTTGCAGGAAAGAAAAAATAAAATAATGAACATTTATCATGCAAAAGAAGAGTTCTTTATTTTTGTTATCTTCTATTCACAATCATGCAATTGCCCTATGCAATCATTCATACAATAGCACAAACAATAGAAGACTACCTATGAAGCTTGAGGTGCAAAACAACGACCGATTGTGCAAGAAAAAACCATTGAATTGCTCAAATATCTTTACAGAAATAAGTACAAAACCAACAAATCATAATTCCATCAAAGATATTTTCTATGAAATTTATTTGAAATTCTTCATATCTTTTTTTAATATTCTTTGTCATCAATAAAATTTGAATTTTTCCACTCTCAAATTTTGCAACATTAACCCTGCTTAATTTCATCTAGTCAAACGAAAGAGACATGCAAAGAATATGAATGCGCAAAGTATTCATTAATTTGCAATATCACTTCTTAACACTTATATCATAAACATAGCAGCCACAATTTGAGAAAATAAGAATCCAGTTTGATTTCAAACTCTTTATAAGATTTTTGGTTTTAGAGACTATGGTGGTTTTGTGGTTAAGAATTTCAACTGAAAATTTAACTATTAGTGTATTCAATATCCGATGATTAAAGTCTACAACGGCAACAACAAGCCTTTATCCCACTAAGTGGGGTCGGCTACATGAATCATTTTTCTCCATTGAGTCAAGGATTAAACTCTCTTGAGAAAATTTTTAAGAGTTCTATTATATGTTAAAGCAAATACTATATTACAGCATACAACCACAGTTAGTGTTGTTATTCCCACGAGATGAACCATTAAACCTTAAAAATAATAATTTGTACTGTCATAAGTAGATTTTCATATATGCATTGTTGTATGTGTAACCATAGCAATCATGGATAAAGCAGAAAGCCACATATTAATCTGAAGTTATAAGATATTTAAATGAGATAACTGAGTAGCCTTTGATAAAATTTTCATAAATTTCGCAGTAAGAGCAAGTTGAATGTCTTAATTTTCTTAACAAAAAGTTGCAAATTTAATCAACCCCAACAGCAACATTTCAGTTTGCTGTATGAGCTAGTTCTTATCAACCATAAAATCAAGTAGGTTCTACCCCCACAATATCCACTTGAAGCCTTCAAATTGTTTGGAATACACGCCTATCAACAGCTTTTTATGCAAACCAAAAAAATGGGGCATTTACAGACATCCCACCTAATTCCTATGTATTTATATATCTAACCCCTAAATTTTCCTTTCTACTTTTATACCAACCAAATTTATCATATGACATCAGCAATACCACTATTTTAACTTTTAAGAGGTGAAGTACAATTTTCATGAACAGGTAAGGTGGCATATATGTAAATATAGAAGTTTAGGTGTTAGACATCTAAATACATAAAAATTGAGTAGCATGTATGTAAATCTTCCAAAAATCAAATCCATTGGCGTTACTTTTATGCTGCATTAGATGGCAGGAAAACCTATTAAATTACCAGAAAACGTGATTGGGTGAAAAAAAACCAAAGCAAGTAATAAAAACAGCGTTAAACGAATTAATGAAACTAAAGAAGCTTGCCTTCCGAACTTGATAGTCAGCTGGCGGTAATCAAACGTATTGCGGCCATCAACTCGGATGTTTTCACTGAGTGCGGTCTCTATGAACTTCTTCTCATTAATGGTAATATGCCAGGTATTAGCCAGCCTCTGCTCCATCCCTCCCCGGCTAAATTCAATCAACTTTAACAAGATAATTGAATAAAAAACATCTACAAAAAAACAAACGGATAGCTTCATTTCCCGTCTAGAGGGACTAGGTTTTAATATAAGAAACCCGGAAAAAAAAAAGTGACAATAGCCATAGCGTACCTTAGGATGATGGTTGAAGAGCAGATTGGTATGGCAGCCCTAGAATCAAGTGAACTACAGTAGAATACAAGAAGAGGGCAGGGGCGGCGAGGATCGTCGACTCGGTGGGGTAACGGAGAAAATATTACACGTCCGAAGTGGTGGAGTGGGGGTACAGCTTATGCCTATTTTTCCGGTGGCTAACGGCTTATTTTAAGTTATTTTCAAATTATTTTTTTGGTTATTTTTAATAATCTTGAAATAGCTCAAAAATAACCGCCGTCTTTCTTTTTGGGTTATTTCTGAGTTATTTAGTGATTATTAAAAATAACCCAGAAATAAACTGAAAATAACTCAAGAATAATCTCTGCAGCACAAAGAGCTACGTCAGGAATTTAAACTTAATTTTTAATAATTTTTTTATTAAAAATTATTAAAAATAAAAATAATTTAAAAGTTTTTTTTCTAAATTACTAAAAAAGAAATATTTTGAAATAATCTGCGGTCTTTATTTTTGGGTTATTTCTGGATTATTTCAGAATTATTGAAAATAACCCAGAAATAACCTGAAAATAACTCAGAAATAATCTATGTCGCACGTAGAGATACGTCAGGAGTCCGGACAGAAAATGTGCTCCTGTTTTACACGTTGATGTATATAAAGTCTTGATGTAATATTTTTTTAGTAATATACGTGCGGCGGAGATTGTTCCTGAGTTATTTTCAGATTATTTCTGGGTTATTTTCAATAATCCCGAAATAACCCAAAAATAACCCGCGGTCTTTATTTTTGGGTTATTTCTGGGTTATTTCGGGATTATTGAAAAAAACCCAGAAATAACCTGAAAATAACTCAGGAATAATCTCCGCCTCACATAGAGCTACGTCATGAGTTTAAACTTAATTTTTAATAATTTTTTATTAAAATTTATTAAAAATAAAAATAAATTAAAAGTTTATGTTTTTTCTAAATTACTAAAAAAAGAAATATTTTGAAATAATCCGCAGTCTTTATTTTTTGGTTATTTCTAGGTTATTTCAGAATTATTGAAAATAACCCAGAAATAACCTGAAAATAACTCAGGAATAACATCTGCCGCACGTAGAGCTGCGTCAGGAGTCCGGACAGAAAATACGCTCTTGTTTTACACGCTGATGTATATGAAGTCCTGATGTATTATTTTTTTTAGGGGAATGGCAACCAATAGGTGCCCTTTACACGAGAAAATATTAAGTCAATAGTTCGGATGCAGGTATCCGTCGGGAGTCTAGTCCAATCAATGAAGTGGCAGATCTGTCGAAAAAAATATAAAAAGTTTTATATTTTAATATATGATCCTGCTCCATAGATATTATATTTCTTTGAAAACAAATCCCTTTGCCCTTAATTAATCTTAAGTTTCTTATATCGGCATCAGGTAAAGTTTTGCAAAGCATTACTCACCTACGATTTTGGTAGCAGGGTTTGATTCGTTTGAAATCCCTCGTATTGTCGGTCATCAGACGCATATCTACAGCAGTTCCTATCTCTCTTGTTAGACGAGAAATATTGATGATGGAATCTGAAAATAATGGCGAGCAGTTTGAAATTGATGTGAGTTTAACTGTGTTTAAAATGTCAGCATTAACTTATGTTTGCTTGATTTTCTTTGTACTTTGAATTAATGATATTATGTTACTTTTCTTATGTTTTTGCGATGATTTTTAGGAGATAAAGTTATTCTGATGGTGTTGTTTTCTTAAAAGATTTATATTAATGGTGAATTCTTTTGTATTATGATCTTATTTTGGTATTTTAGTAGTCTGTGGTGCTAGTGGATTTGTATTGTGATTGTATTGAGATGAGATTGAGTCCGTATTTTGTTCATATATGAGTGTAATTGTGGTGTTATTGGAGTGAAATTGTGGTGTTATTGGAGTGTTATTTGACTGGTATTTTTTTTGTGTTATTATTTTTTGTTATGGTGGTTATGTGGTAGTATTTAACTATTATTTTTGTGAGGTTTATATTGATTTCATTTTGGGTGTTCTTATGCTATTATGATGCTCTTTTTTAGTGTTATTATAGTGGTATTCAGTGTTATTATTGTGTTATTTTTGTGTTATTGTGGTGTTATTAGTGGTATTGCGGCGACTCAGTGGTGGTATTCTCGGTCGGTGTTATTATGATGTTATTGAGGTATTGTTGTAGTTTTATTTATGTGTTATTGTGATGTTATTTGAGTGATATTGTGACTGCTCTATGGTGGAATTCTTAACTGGTGTTATTATGGTTTTATTGTGGCATTATTGTGATATTCGAGAGGTGTTGTTTCAGTGTTAGTATGGTATTATTGTGGTATTATTGTGGGTTTATTAAGGTGTTACTGAGGTATTATTATTGTATTATTTGACTAGTATTGTGGCGGCTGTGGTGGTATTCTTGACTGGTGTTATTTTAGTTTTATTATGGTTTTATTGTTGTATTGCTGAGGTTTTATTGAGGTGTTATTTTGTAGTTATTGTGGTTTTATTATGATGTTATTGTGGCATTATTGTGGTGTTATTGAAGTGTTTTATTATGTTATTTGAGTGGTTATGTGTCGGCTCTGTGGTGGTATACTCGACTGGTGTTATTAACAGGTTATTATGATATTATTAAGGTATTATTGTGTGTTATGTTAGCGTTGTATGAGTTTTATTGCAGTGGCTCTGTGGTGGTATTCTCGACTGGTGTTGTTATGTTGTTATAATGATATTATTATGGTATTATTGTAGTATTTTTGTGATGTTATTGTGGTATTATTATTTTGTTATTTGAGTGGTATTGTGATGACTCTATGGTGGTATTCTCGGTTGGTGTTATTTTTTTGTTATTATTGTATTATTGCACAATTATTTTAATGTTATTGAGGTGTTATTTGAGTGGTATTGTCGCTGCTCTGTGGTGATATTCGATCGGTATTGTTTAAGTGTTATTATTTTGTTATTGTGCTATTATTGTGGGGTTATTAGGGTTACTAAGGTGTTATTTGAGTGGTATTGTGGCGGCTGTGGAAGTATTCTAGACTGATGTTATTTCAGTTTTATAATGGTGTTATTCTTGTATTATTGTGATGTTTTTACGGTGTTATTATAATATTATTGTGGTGTTATTGAGGTATTATCTTAATGATATTGTGACCGCTTTGTGGTGATATTCTCAACTGGTGTTATTATGGTGGTATTGCAGTAATATTGCATTATTATTCTGATGTTATTGAGGTGTTATTGTGGTGTTATTTAAGTGGTATTGTGTCGGCTCTGTGGTGGTATTCTCGACTGGTGTTATTATGGTGTTATTGTGGTTTTATTGTGGTATTAATGTAATGTTATTGAGCTGTTGTTTTGGCGTTATTTGAGTGGTATTGTAGCTGCTATTTTGGCCACGCATAGGTGTATCACTATTTTGTGTAGTCTTGTTAAAGGCATCAGAAACTTGATCTGCTCCCTAGCTAATTGAATGAGTTCTTAAAATTAGGAATGTTTACTCGCTCGGGTTTCTTGCGCGAGTATATATATCATTTTAGTAATATCGGGCTTTATCGTGTTCGGATTATTGATCCCATACAGAAGCAAGGTAAGAAATTACTTAGGCAAAGTTCTAGTCTACTACGTTCAGGTTTTAGTTTAGAATGTCAATTAAGGTGGTTTTTTTAATAACTAATCTTAAATAAAACCCTAAGTCTAAATTTAAACCTAACTAGACAAATTAATTTGGTAAATTTCAAGAGGTAAAAACTACATTTATCTTGTGATTACAGAAGTGGATTGTATGATCTAAAATTTTAAATTGTTATTGTAGCTGGGGACAAATAGGACCATTCTTTTTCTTTACCCTCTGTTGAATGCATAAAGATGTTTGGTTAACCTGAGATTAATTTTTTTAACCCTAGATTACATTGATTACGATTCTAGCATGTCACCTTAGAGTCTTCAATTTCTATCCTCAATTTAACTAACCTAGTTTTAATTCATTAGACCCTAGATCAATTTGGTTAGGATTCTAGCCTATCACCCTAGAGTCCCCAATTTAGAACCATCAAAGCCTATTTTTTATATATTTGCACTACCCTATGGACAAACTTTTCTTTGACCTTGTCGGCACTATTTTTGGTGTGGAGTTTGCCCGTAAGAAGCTGTCGGCCATCGGAATTGAAATCCTGTTGCCCGCTTCGGAAGGACGTTAAAAAAATTTAGTTTTGAAAAAGATGAAGTCAAACTGACCTCATAATTTTCATAGTTTAAATGGAAGAGCACTTTACCTCAAATTCTGTATCTATCCCAAAGGATGAATACAAGAATTGAGGGTGAGGCTCGTCAAATAAACTAGAGAAAGTCATGACATCCGTTTGATCTGCGGAACCAATATATTGGCCGACAAATTCCCCTATTTAATATAATGAATTAAATAGGGTTTATATTATGCTGGGTTCGGGAAAAGCTTCCTATAAGGGCAAGCCCCTATAGTTAATTACATCTTAGATAACTGAAGTTACCTAAGAATACTCTCGATA